CGGCCTCCTCGCGGGCTCGGGGGTCCTTCTTGCCGAACAGCGGAGGCGGCTCCCCGCCGCGCGCCGCGCGTTCCTTGGCGGCTCCTTCCCGCGATGACGATCCTTTGGCCTGGGTGCCCGAGGAGGCTCCTCCTGGGGTCCTGGAGGAGGGCGCGTGGGAGTGCAGAGCTCCTGGTGCCCCGGGGGCGGGCAGGTAGAAGCCGTCTGCGGAGAAGAGCACAGGGTGAGCCCAGGGCTGAAGGGGCCCCGTGTCCCCAGGGAGCCAGCCAGAGTCAGCAACAGGGGCCTGGACAGCCCGGTCCAGAGGGCGCAAGCCCTGGAGAAAACAGTGCTAGCCACCCACCACTCAAGCCTCCGTTTACACATCAGTAAAAGAGAAGGAGCGCTGGTAGCTTAGTGCCTAAGGCACTTGACTGCTAACCAGAAGGCTGGCGGTTCAAACCCACCAGCCACTCCTCCAAAGGAAGGTTGGGCAATCTACTTCCCTGCCTATGAGTCTGGTCCAACTAACTCTATGGCACATAACAACAACAGCAACAAAAGAGGAGAAGACTATGGGCAGTTTCTAGAGCTGCTCAGAGGACCTAAGGGTGCTATAGTGAGGGCCCCGAGTGACTGGGGTCTCAGCTAAACACTCGACATGGCTCTTGGAAAATGGAGCTGGGGTGCTTCCTGGAATACCAGGTAGTGATGGGAACCCCAGGGAAGCCCCCAGCCCCCACGATCTCACCCACCCCTGCCCCCTGACCTTTCTGGGTATCGAAAATGCTGGGCTGGCCCAGCTGGCTGAGGAGGGGGCTCCCGCTGCTGGGGGGCTCCAGGTGGTTCAGGTGGAGGTAGGATGGGTACAGCCCGCTGGGCAGGTGGGAGAAGCCTGGAAGAGAGAAGACGGACACCATGGATCACCTTCTGGCTCCGAGAAACGTCCTCCCAACTCCTCCTCTCCCTGAGGCTGGACAGACACCAGCTCACCTCCCAACCCTGGCAACTCCCAGCCTCCCTGCAGTCCCCCACAGCTCCCAAGGGTTGGGTTCTCGAATTCTCCAGAACGGCTCCAACCGTGACACCTGGAGCCACACACACAGCCTGTCAACTGTCCGTGTTGTGATTCCCACATAAACCTCAAAATGACTCTGTGTCAGATCCTCGTAATATCCCCAATTTACAGATGAGGAAACTGAAGCTCTGAGAGGCCAGCCTGCCCAAAGTCACCCAGCACAGGAGCCTGGTTTTGAACCGAGGTCCTCAGAACCTGCAGCCCACTCTCTTCAGCCTATGTGGTTCTGTGAGCCCCTTCTCGGCTGAGCAGCCCTGGGCAGGTCCCACACCCTTTCTAAACCTTAGCCAATGAACAATCTCCCCGTTGGGCCTCCCAGGCAGGAATTCCTCTGGCCAAGGGCCCTCCCAGCCGCCTCCTGCCCCGGGCCCAGCCAATGATGGCCTGAATCAAGATCCTTCTTGCAGGACAAGACGGCAGAGGGCAGCCATTGGTGGTGCCGTCCCACATGCCTACTGTGCAAAGATGCAAGACGCCAGGGGGACACAGGCCCACGAGGCCGTTCAGAGGGCCCACAAGGCCGGGCAGGGGGAGTCCTAATGCTTTGTTGGACCCTACAGAGACCTCTGGAGACCCCAGAAGGCCTTGGGTCCCCCAAACCCCAGGGGCAAAAGACCTATCCCCGCCTCCCTGGACCTGTCTTCTCCCATAGCGCCACCAAATGATAGTGACAACATCAAAAACACAAGGACTGCCTGGTTCACATAAGCTCATTTCATCCTGAGAGACCCCAGCTCGGCCTCCAGCCTCTGCTTTCCCGTCTGTAAAATGGGGAGATGGTGTGTACAGCCCAGGCCTGTTCACAGGACAAGAGGGCTCAGGGAGGCAGCGCCTGGCCAGGGCAGCAGCTCAGGTTTGCAGGCCCGACTATGAACAGCCAGGGTTTGTGCAGCAAACAGACTCAGGGACAGGGCTGCTAAAGATGAGGCCCGGGCCCCCCGCCCGGGCCCACAGTGGGCTCCAGGCAAAGGCAGATGTGCCCCATTCCTGACTTTACATGCTTCTCCAAGCACCTGGGAGCGGCAGCCTTGGCGGCCTCCTATGGGGTGGATGCCAGGTCATAGGAGCTGAACAGGTTGTGTGTGGCCAGACTGTCAGCTTCCTCCAGGGCTAAATGCAGATGACCCGGACCCGCCCCTCAGGATCTAGGAAGCCTCCCGGACCCAAGGAGCGCACCCACAGGCCACCTGGGAGGCAGAGGAGGCCCTCCAATATCCAGTCATGGAATCACACTGAGGGTCAGCATACAGAGGAACTTGGGGGGTCCCCCAGCCAATTCCCGCAACTGACAAAGGAAACGGAGGCTCCGAGACTGCAAAGGGCTTGGCTCAAATCGCAGGAGGTCAGGCCTCCAGATCCCTCAACTCGGGCATCACTGCAAACGTGACAAGGGGGCCTGGTGGCCCCAGACCCACACGCCTACGGTGCAAAGAACAGCACATGCAAAGACCCCGGGGCAAGAGGAAGCCTGTGCATTTAAGAACTAGCAAGAAGGCCTGGAGCAAAGAGAAGGTGGATGGCTAGAGCTGGGCCCGGCAGCCTACAAAGGGAGGAACTGGTGCAAGGTGACCGGGGAGGGGCGTGGAGTGGACAGAGCTGAGGTGTGCCGGGGACATAAACCCACCAGCACAGTGGGGACAGCGGCCCAGCCCTCGGCCCGCCCACCTGGCCCACTCCTTACCTTCGTGGGCGTGGGCGGCCCATAGCTGCACCATGGGCAGGTTGCTGGGGGTGGGGGAGCGGAAGGAGAGATCAGGGGGCAAGGGCACCGGGCTGCCATGGGCTGAGGTGGAGGGCCCCATCCCACTGGCCACAAAGCTGCCCAGGAAAGCCTCGCCTGTGAAGAGAAGGGGGGCCGGTCAGGCAGCCACCACTGGGGCCCACCGCCCCCAGACCCCCACCTCTCCCCACACAGGGTGGCCAAAGGACCTCCCCTGGCCCGGCAACAGGCCTGGGGTCACTCCTCCAGACCCAGGACTTAAGACAGCACAGGTCACCCCAGCGTGGCCAGAGAAAGCACACACACAGCAGCCCCCTCCCCAGGGCACCCAGCACCGTCCACAGGGACCACTACCATCCCCACAGCCCCACGAACTAGACCCGGAGGCTGTGCCCCCCGTTTGCTGATGAAAAGCTGATCTCGAGGCTGGAGACAGGAAGTGCCTGGTTACGTGGCTGGTGAGTGGAGACCCAGGACCAGACCCAGCAGTTTCCCAGTGAATGAGTGAATGAAATCAGTGAATGAATGAAAGCAGTGAGCTTGACAGGGGGAGGGCAGAGACAGCCCTGTCCTGGGGGCCGTCGCCACACGCAGGGGACAGACCCAGTGACCAGTGTTGCTTAGATGGACAACCAACTTGGGTCTGGGAGGAGACCACACCCCACCCACCATGCCTCACTGGGCCAGGCCCACCCTCACCCACCCGACATCTGATGGGAGGTCTCCAACTCCCCACTCAAGGGAGCCTGCCCCTCCCAGAGCCACTCCAGCCTCTGGGCAAAGGGAAAGATGCCATGTCTAATGACAGTAGCAGCAGTAACGGTACTGACAGCAGTAGCTTGTTCAGCAAAACCTGCCAAGTGCCGGGCACGCCAAACCCTCCCAGCCACAGGCAACATTCACCACCAAGTGCCAACTCAGCCCACCCTTTGCTGCGGGCTCTGGGCACACCCTGGGGTGACCCTCAGTCCCTGTGAGGGGCAGTTTCCAGGTGGCACACAAGTTCAGTGACTTTGGAGAGAGCACACAGATGGTGTGTGTGGCTCAGAGCCCAGACAGCGCCAGGCCAGCCCACAGGTGGCTCACGGACCCAGCGGCCCCTGCTACAAGGCCCGCAGACATCAGGCACTCACTGATCATGCCCCAGGGGCTCAGGGCCCCGAGATGTCCAATCCAGCCCCCTGGTGGTATACGTGGGGAAACTGAAGCCACTAGGGGGACAGGGCCTCCATCTTGCTGTCCCTCGGTGGAGAAAACAGCGGGTGGACCAACAGGAGGATGCCCTCTGGCCACATGCCCCTCGCGGCCGCTCAGTGTCCAGCCCCCCCCAGGCCCGGCCCGCCTCGCCTGGCTCACCGGACTCCAGCGCCAAGCCCTCGGGACCCAGAGCCATGGTGGCCAGTCCGCACACCCATGCGGCCAGGCTGGGGCAGCAGGGCCTTGGGGCCTGGCAGGCCTGGCTTCCTCCTTCGCGGGTGGGCAGGCGGGCGGCAGGCTCCGGAAGCCGGCAGTCGGGGTTTGCGCAAGGGCTTACATCAGCGCCAGTTCTTCCTGCCCTGGGCCTCACGGAAGCCCAGTGGCCCCGGCCTGCCCCTGCCTGGCCTTGTGAAACCCAGCAGCCTGCCAGAGCCCGGATGCCACCAACGGCTCCCGCCCGCCACAGAGCACAACAGTGCGCCCTCACCCCACCCTGCTCGGGCCGGGCCAGAGAGCCAATTCCCCACGCAGGACCCCGCGCTCCCACTGCCACCCTCAGAGCCTCGGTTTGCTCCCGTCAGATGGGCACAGCACCCCTCTCTGTCTGAAGACGGCAAAAATCAACCCACAATCGGCGTTTATTTGCTGGTAATCACTGTGCCCATCTCCTTCCCCCAATCCCCCAGCAACCAGAGGATCTGCTCACAGACAGACAGACAGACTGGGTAAATTACCAACTGCTCACAGCCCGGGGGCCTGCCTCCTCCCCCCCCCCCAAGGCTCCTGCCCCAGCGGGCTCCCGGAACACCAACTCCCACTTCCCGGCCATCCCTGGGCCTCAGAGAAGCCCTCCCAACCCCTGATCTCTGCAGAGTTTGTCAGCTCCATGTATTTAATGCCTGCCTCCCCACTAGAGGGGGTCCTGCCTAAGGGCAGGGGCTCTGCCTGGTCCCCCACAGTGCCCCTACCATCACACAAGCGCACTCCACTACAGGACTAATGACCACATGTGTGTTACGTTATTCCATTCCCCGGAGGCTGCTGCACAAAACAGCACGTGGCAGGTCCTGAAGTTAAACGCATCTATGAGTTGCCACCAAGCTGATTTGACCGATGGTGACCCCACACGTGCAAAGCAGGTTTTTTCATGGCTGTAACCTTTTGGAGCTCTGGTAGCATAGTGGCTAAAGCACTTGACTGCTAACCAGAAGGCTGGCGGTTCAAATCCACCAGCCACTCCTCGGAAGGAAGGTTGGGCAATCCTCCTACTTCCGTAGTGATACTGCCTCGGAAACCCAAGGAGGGGTCACTACGAGTCGGGGCCGACTCGACGGTACATAACAACAAACAACAACAACCTTTTGGAAGCAAACAGCCAGGTCTTTTTTCTAAGATGCCTCTGGTGGATTCGAATGGCCCAACTTTTCAGTAAGCAGCCGAGAGCTTGACCATTCTCATGACACTCAGGGACTCAAATCAAGTTAAACACAGAATTGCCCTATGACCTGCTACATTCTCCCAGGTCTACAGCCAAGAGAACTGGCCACAGGGACTCCAACGGATATGGTGTCAACCTCACTGCGACATTCACAGCAGCCAGAGAGGTGGACACAGTCTGCAGTCGAACGCACCCGCGCTACAGGATCCACACACAATGAACATGACTCAGCCACAAGAGCAATGAAGCTGACACATGCTTGACACGCGTGACATCCGTAAACATGATGCCAAAATAAGTTACTTACACGAATTTCTAGAACAGACCAAGCACAGAGACACTGAGTAGGGGGGTGGTTATGAGGGCTGGGGGAAAGAGAATGAGAAGTTGTTGCTTAAGGGGCACTGAACTCCTGTTTGGGGTGAAAAGCGTTTTGGAAATAGCTGGGTAAGGGTTGAGTAACACAGTGAATATAATTAAAGCCACAGAAATGTACCCTTAAAAATGGTCAACATGCCAGAGATACAGGATCAAAAGCAATTACTTCCTAACGCTAAAAAAAAAAATGGTTAACACAGCACTTTTTGTTCTATATTTTACCATGTTAAGTTTCTTACAGAGCAGTATGTGTTAGGATTAAGGAGCAATTAAATGCAGCTCCCCCCAGCACATGCCTCTGAGGGCATCTGCCGGGTCCTCCTGCAGGGGAGAAGGCTCCCCCACTTGAGCCTGCCTGCTGAACCCCCACTGTGCTGTTCTCAGGGGCTAGGTGTGCATTCTCCTGCCTCCTCACACCCACTTCCCCAACAAGGCTCCAGGGCTCGGGACTCTAGTGGGCGGTGACAGCCAAGCCTGGAGTCCCCTGACCTCTCCACAGGCTTTGCTGGAAACCCCAGGAGCAACCTGAGCCACCCTGAACTCAGAGTAGGGTTCCCAATGCCTCGCCCTGCCCCCCAACAAAGAAACCCAATCCAGGGTGCCCCCTGGTGGCTGGAGGCCTCCCTGCCATCTGCAGAACAACATCTCACCTAAGGAGCCCTGGTGAAGGACTCCACTGACAACCAAAAGGCTGGTGATTCGAACCCACTCAGCCTCTCAGCAGGAGAGAGGCCTGCCAATCTACTTCCATAAAGATTACAGCCTAGGAAAACCTATGGGCCAGTTCTAGTCCGTCACATGGGTTGCTGTGAGTCAGAAGTGCCTCAATGGCACTTAAAAACAACAAGCCGCACTTAAACGTTAAGAAGCTAAGACCCAGGACGACCAAAACCTAAAACAGGGGCATGTCATTATCAATTATCGTCACTCCTGAGAGCACCAAAATAGGTCCTAGACACCCAGTGCATGGGGTGCTGGCAAACGTCCCAGCTTCAGGAATCTGCCGTATCCCCTTCCCTAGCCTTCTGGTGGGGCTCAGAGCAGACAATGACATCCCAAGGTCACACGGGCGGCAGAGCTGGGAAGGTTAGTCAGGCCGACTCCAGGGCCCGGCCGTCCACTCTACTTCCATGAGGCAGAAATGTGCCATGTGACAACAGAGCTGTGTCTCAGACATGTTCCCTGCTACACTGCCTGCCACCCCAAGCAAGCTGGAAGCAACCTGTGCGCCCGTCCAATGGGGACTAGTCAGAAATAAACAATACCCGTGGAATCCAGACTTTCTGGAGCCATGGAGGCTGGACGGATGTCTGCCTTGACACTGTGCTCTTTTTAAGATCGATACAATTAGCTTTGAAGCAAAGAAAAGTGGAGAAAATCAAAGACGCATGAGAACAATTAGCCCATGGGCCTCGTGGGCCATGCGATCCTCAGCCTCCATTACCCTCAGAACAGAAGAACTGGATGGCGTCCAGCCACCAATGCCAACCATTCTGAAAGGGATCACTTTACAGGGACAGAGTGGGGGGAAAATGTGGAACAAAACTCAAAATCATAAAAACAACCAGGCTCCCTGGTCAGAGACTGGTGGAACCTCTGAGACTAAGGCCCTTAATCACCCTTCAATTCTGGAACTGAACTCAGTCCCGTGGCTCAGTTTTCAGCCAGACAACAGACAGGCCTGTGAAGCGAACGGTAACATCAGGGAGATACACCCCCGTTAGAACCACCAACCTTACGAGATCAAGAGGGCAACGTTTACCAGGGAGCAAAGCTCAGAAGGCGGGAAGGAATGGGAAAACGTAATTGGAAGGGTGCTACTACACTGTGGAGACTACAATCAATGTCACAAAACAAAACTGTGTACAGATTGTTGAAAGGAAAACTTAGCTGCTCTGTAAGCCTTCACCTAAATCAAAATAAAAAGTTATGGAAAAAAAAAAACTTTATGAGAACCAACTGACAGAAGCAACTTGAAAGGTTAGATGGGAACCTCGGGGCGGTGAGTTATGTTAACGGGAGAGGAGCAACTCAGAAAAGGAAAGTGAGGCTGGCTTGCCCTCAAGGAATGCCACCCGCATCACTGACTGGGACACGGAGAAATTGCTGAACTGGTGTGTGCTCTGCAGTGAAATAAAGTATGTTTTAAAATAAGTAAGAGGTACACACCAGCACGGCATCGACACCTTCTAAAAGAGGGCTCTCATCTGAGCCGAGCAACGGGGAGTCCACTGAGCACACGGAAGGCGGCTGGTGGGGCTGAGGAAGGGAGCTCCTCTTTTCATTCCATTTGAATTAGTGAAGGGTTAATTCTGGAGTCCCCAGGGAGGGAAGCAGGCCCTGGGCTGTGCCATCGGTTCAACACTCAACCAACCAAAAGGTCGGTGGGTCAGAGCCACCCAGAGGCGCCCCGAAAGATCGCCGTCCGCTTCCAAAAGCTCACAGCCTTGCAAACCCTATGGGCGCCTCACTGGTGGGACAGAGACTGGTGAAACCCCTAAGACTACAACCCCAGTCACGCTTCAGGCCTGGAAGTGAACTTACCAAGCAGACAACAGATGGGCACAAAAGGTGAACCTTTACACCCGGTGGGTACACTCCTTGGAGCAATCAACCAGGGGCGATCAGAAGGGCAGTGTGTACACAGGGGAGGGCTCAGGGGGCAGGAATACACAGGGAAAAGGGAGCCAGAGGGAGGAGTGGGAAGAGAGATGTCACACTGTGGAGACTGTAACCAGTGTCACAAAACAAAACATGTATGAGCTGTGGAAGGGAAAAGGAATTCTGTCAACTTTCACCCATCACCAAAAAAAAAAAAAACCCTCTAGCACTGCTCTCTTGTGCACATGTGGGGTCAGCAGGAGTCATAATCCATTAGACTGCAACAGGTGCTGGTGAAGGCAGCACAAACAATGTACTGGGCTCCCACCACAAAGGCTAGAAGTTCAAGTCTACCCAAAGCCCCTCGGAACAAAGGCAGGAGGATCTATTTCTGAAATATGCAGCCACTGAAAGCCCCGCGGGGGCCCAGCTCTCTGACAGGCGTGGGGCTAGAACAGACTTTATAGCCACTGGTCTTTAGGCTTTAATTCAGCTGACAGCTTGAGATGAAGTTTTCCTGCGGCTAGAACAGGAGCCAGGGAGGCAGGGATGGGGCCTGCCACTGGGAGGGATAGACAGAAGGGCCCCCAGGGCAGACAGCAGAGGCAAATCCTGACTCCCACGCCCACCTGTCCCAGACCTTGGCAATTTTCTTACTGTCCTCAGGCTTCGAGAAGTGGCTAATGGGTAACAGGCCCCGTGGGGCCGATAGGGAGATTAAGTGAGTGCCTATTTGTAAAGGTATCTGGCAGGAGGCCAGTGTCACGTGTTATAAATTG